GGGAGCATATCCAACAATTATTGGAAGACCTGTAGACTCAAAAGCAGTTTAGTTTGTGGTCCGTTTACATAATACTTTCGACTAATCATATACAACAAATTTTATACCAACTGATAGATGAGAATAAAGCACGATGGACCCAACAGGAAGAGCTAAGATGTTACCCGTTCGCATCCATACATAAGATTACTGCTGTTTTTGCTAGGATCACGTTACGCTCGCTAGATTACTGATACTTATTATAGCACTTAAGTTATACATAAGTTTTGAATGAGTTAAAGAGTCATGGCAAGAAGTACAAAAAAAGTATGTGATAAAATTTCAGCTCAAATTGCCATTATGCTACATCACTAGCTACAGATTATTTGGATCAAAAAAGCATAGAGGAGAAGTCGTTTGCTTAGATATACATTTCAGATTTGTTTCCCCTTTTCTCGTTCTCTACCCTGTACCCCTCCTAGGTGTATCGCACTTGTCCAATCTATCAACACAACAAGAAAGAGAAAGAACTTAGTGGGGAAAACTATGGTGGCTATCGCATGACCTTTACCTTTGACACCCGAAGGCAAGGATGCAGGGAGACTAAGAGCAGTTTACATGAACGATAAGATTGTTTGGATGGCTGCCGTCGTGCAACATCGGTGCACATGGGGAGACTAGGGCTCATGGTAAACTTCCCGTCAGGTGAGATGGTCCGACCTGACGGGGTTAGTCCAACTCCACCAAGTTCACATGATCCCGATCCCTGCGCCATAGTATAAGAATACAAAGTCCACGGACGGATCACCGTCATGCGAGGTCTGCGATGAGATGAACTAACCCCTAAGGAGAGAGTTTGCCTACGGGTCATACAAAGGAAATAGGGTGTGTTTTACGAGAGTCCGTCAGGGGAACTCGTAAGTTGCTCGGAACCAACTTACGAGCTCCCCTAACGATATGTACTTTTGCGCCAAAAGTAGAGCATCACCGACCCAAAAGTGCACACTTGCTAGTGATTTGCCCAAGATTCGCTCCTAATCAATGATT